CTCAAGACAAGGACCATCTGGTGAGCCCAGCAAACTAGGTCAAATGTCAACCAATCGCAAGCCTGTAACTATGTGGCCCCCCCCTCCAGAGAAGCCTCCCCCCTTAGGGAACCAACTAGTTTTCAACAAGTGTTACAAAAGCAGAGCTGAGCCAATCCTGGGGAGCCTGGGGTCTTATGCTAATCCTGTGGTTTTTGTCTTTAAAAGTGCCTGTAACTGCTGCTCGGGGCTTCCAGTCTGCCTTGGACAGGGAGCCGGTTTGTGCAAGAGCCTAATAAAATCCTCTTGCTTGTTGCATCTGCTGGTTTGGAGTCTTGGTTCTTGGGGTGCCCTCCCGTTGAAGAAAGCATCCCAGTGGGCCTGGGGTCTTTCAGTTGGGGGCTCATCCGGGATAAGGCGCCCCCAGACCCAAAATTTCAAGACCTGTTGGAGGTAAGACAGAGCTCTAATTTTCTGTGTTCTCCATGCTTGTCGTGTTCGTTTTGTGTTTTGGGGATCCAAAAGTGCCTGTACAGGACGTGTGTGGTGGACCAGAGGGAAAAGCAGACATGCCCACTACCCTGGTCCCACCCTGGAGTCCTAATCCACTCCAGGGTCGCGTGAATTCGTGGTGAACTAGAGGGAAAAGCAGACGTGCCCACTACCCTAGTCCTGCCCTGAAGTCCTACTCCAGGGTCGCGTGGAGGGGGGACGAGATCCGAGTGTCTCTGTGTTCGGGGGAGTTAAGGTACAGCCGGCCTCTCCCTTCTGAAGTTTCCCTCCTCATTTGTGCTTGGGGACCGCGCGGCGTTTGTCTAGTCTTGTCTGCGTCTGTCTAACGTTGATTGTCTTTGGTGTCTGTTTTGTGACTCTCAAAGAAATGGGACAACAACTAACCACCCCCTTAAGCCTGACTCTAGATCACTGGAAAGAAGTCTCGCCCAGGCCCACAACTTGTTGTTGGAGGTCCGGAAAAAGAAGTGGATAACTTTCTGTTCCTCTGAGTGGCCCACCTTCAATGTGGGGTGGCCTAAGTAGCGCTCCTTTAATTTTGGTATTATTTTACAGGTGAAGGCTCGAGTCTTCCAGCCCGGCCCTCACGGACATCCTGACCAGGTCCCCTACATAATTACTTGGGAAAACCTTGCTCAGGATCCCCTGAAGTGGATTAAGCCTTTCCTTTCCCATTCCATCCCTCTCTCAGCCCCTCCACCCTCTCCCATTCCCCTCACCCCTCTTCCTCCTGCCCCCATCCAGCCCACCTTTCCTCCCCTGCCTGTCCCTCCACCACCCACTCCCCTCACTCCTCCCCCACCACCCTTATCCCAGTCTTCCCTTTACCCCCTAAAGGAATTGTCGAAACTTAAAACAAAGGACTCCACCCCCACCCCTCCAAATCCCCCCCGTTCTGCCTGACAGACAGACTTGGTATTGTTAGAGCCTCCCCAAATGCCAGACCCACCGCCGCCCTATCTTCAGCCCGCTCCAGTGGAGGAACGCAGGAGGCTACAAGAGAGCTCCCTTGTTCCACCTATGCCTTCTCCCGATTCCACTGAGCCAGAGGCGGAGCCACAGGTGCCATCGGCGTCCAGAGCGCCCTTGCCCCCGCTTAGCAGCCGCCCTCGTCTCTGCCGCGATCCAGGCGGGGAGAGCGAAAGAGTCTGGACGGCTCATGCCTTCCCCCTCCGGACCGTGGGTGGCCAAGTGCAATACTGGCCTTTTTCTGCCTCAGATTTATATAATTGGAAAACCCATAACCCGCCCTTTTCCCAGGACCCCCAGGCCCTGACGGGTTTAATTGAGTCCATCTTGCTAACCCACCAACCCACCTGGGACGACTGTCAGCAGCTCTTACAGACCCTCCTCACTACAGAGGAACGTCGAGTGTTCCTAGAGGCTTGCAAAAATGTTCCAGGACAAGATGGCAGACCGACGCAGTTGCCGAATGAGATCGATGAAGTATTCCCGCTGACCGGCCCTAACTGGGACTTCAACACCGTTGCTGGTAGGGAGCGGCTCCGTCTTTATCTCCGGGTTCTGTTGGCTGGTCTTAAAGGGGCCGGGAGACGCCCCACTAATTTGGCCAAGGTAGGTGCAATAGTGCAGGGTTCTGAAGAAACGCCTGCGGGGTTTTTAGAAAGATTAATGGAAGGATATCGTATGTATACGCCCTTCGACCCCTCCGCCGTAGACAGACAATCCGATGTTATTATGTCCTTTATCGGGCAGTCAGCCCCGGACATTCGGACTAAGCTGCAATGGCTGGAGGGACTTCAGGGGTATACTTTGCAAGATTTAGTCAAGGAGGCGGAGAAAGTTTTCAATAAGAGAGAAACTCAGGAAGAAAAGGAAGAAAGATTGCGTAAGTTGCAGGAGGATAGGGAGGACAAGCGAGACAAGAAACATACCAGAGAGTTAAGTAAGATCCTGGCCACCGTAGTCAGACAGCCAGAAGGGAGAGAGAGTAGGCCAGTGAGGAACCCGGGAGACAAAAAGACACCACCATTAAGCCGGGACCAGTGCGCATACTGCAAAGAATTTAGGCATTGGGCCAAGGACTGCCCCAATGACAGAAAACAGGCCAGGGGAGCCAGGAGACCGGCACCGGTGTTGTCATTAGGAAGTGACGACTAGGCCAGTCAGGGCCAGGAGCCCCCCCTGAGCCCCAGATTTACGAGTGGAGGCAATCCAGTTACCTTCTTGGTTGACACTGGTGCCCAAGCATTCGGTACTGACTCAACCAAAACGTCTCCTAAGTAATAAAAAGTCTTGGGTGCAGGGAGCCACTGGAGGAAAATTATACCAGTGGACAACTGAGCGAAAAGTGCATCTCGGAATGGGGTTGGTCACACACTCGTTTCTCCTGGTTCCTGACTGCCCCTACCCGCTGTTGGGGAGGGACCTCCTCTCAAAAGTAGGGGCCCAAATTAACTTCCAAGAAGGGGGGGCCTCCGTTAGGGGACCCCAAGGACAACCTCTCCAAGTCCTGACTTTACGCCTAGAAGACGAGCATCGTTTGCATGAAAGCCCTCAGCCAGTCTCAATTGACCCCAAGTGGTTGTTAGGTTTCCCTCAGGCTTGGGCGGAGACAGCGGGAATGGGATTGGCCATTGGATTTAAGCCGTCGGTCAGTATCCACTAAGCAGGGAAGCTAAAAATGGAATCAGGCCACATATACAAAGGCTAAGGCTGCTAAAATTGGGCATCCTAAAAACATGCCAATCCCCATGGAACACCCCGAGACCTTGTCCTAGTTCGTTTGCTTTTGTAACTTGCTTGTTTTTCAATTATGAAATTGCCACTGACCACCTGCAAGTAGCCCCAGTTAGATCTCAACCTTGGGCCTTGGCTGGAGGGGGGGGCTGAGCATGGGGGAGCACCTGTCAGTCTGAGGAGACTGCCGCTAGGGACTTTTGTCCCTTGCCCCAAGATGACTGGAAATTCTCCTCCACCTTGGAAGGCCGTTGGGTCAACGTCTGCAGGAATCTAAGAGAAAAATCCTCCGGAGGTGAGTAGGGGGGTTGAGTCCCCTGGTAAGTGAATGGTGGTGAGATGTCACCCCATTCACTGAGACTTGATTTTGTCTTTGTGGCCACTTGTTTGTCTTGTTAACTTTAGTGTGTGTTTGTTTTATGTTTTCTGGGTAGGGAAGTTCTGGGTGAGTGTGGCAGGCTCACTCAGCAGACTCTGGATTCAGCTTGCTGAGTGGGAGCAGCACAGAGTTCCAGTAGGGATAAATTGGGGCCCATTAGTCCCCAACTCAGTCTTCAGTTCTTGTCTAGTTCTGTTTTAGAATTGGTACCAGTTTTAAATGTGGATCCTTGGTTTTTGTGTTTATCTGTGTTTTTGTTATTCAATTGAACATCTCTGGGGGAATAAAAGTTCCAGCTGGGCTCGGTCACAGACCTGCTATGCCCACCCTCCCTGTGAGGCATGGAAGGTTACTGGGCTAGTTCGGTTCCCTTCTAGCCTCAGGCTGTATTTTCTCCTTGTGGAGGCTGCCAGCAGGGAGGGTGTAGAAGGCTGTGTGCCTGGTTTGGACTTTTTCAGCTAGTCCTGACAATGTAACAATTTGTAAAGTGCTCTTGTCTGAAATTGGATTAAAAAAAATCTGGCCAGTTTAAAGTGGCCCCTCCCCCAGCCCTCCTCCAACAGAAGGGATTCAAAAGACTAATTAGTGAATTGCCTTGCTAGACAAACAAGCTCTGGGAAAATAAAGCCCAACAAAGGTACCTAGTTTAAAAGAAATACTGTCTTAAATTTTTGTTTAAAAACTAAAAGGTGTATGTACGACTGATTTTGATTTTTGCACACTTTAAGATCTGTGTGAGTGTTTTGTGTATGTCTGTGAACGTGTTCAAAGATAAGAATTGTCAGCATGCTGTAACAATTGGGTGAGTTAAAATTTAAATGTAAAGGTTAGTTTAACACTGTCAAAGATGTTATCTGTTCTGTCTGTCTAAAACTGTGTATTTCATTCGAGAACCAAGAGATAAGAAAAGGGAAAACTAAAAGCCAACAGAAGGCCTATCTGTAGGGGTAAGGGGTGAACAAGCAGAAGTGCAGTTCAGCTGGTCATGCATGGTGGGACAGGCCCTGGGAGGAGTCCACGCATGGTGAAAGAGGGTAAGCTGGCACAAACGCCCCTAAAGAGTCGGATTGGGTGCGTGCCCATTCCATAGAAGGGGCTAAGTGGCCCATCTTTGTTCTCTCTCTTTTCCCTGCAGATACAGACTGAAAACATGATGGTTAAAATGAGTGATGTGATGATCTGATTAGTATTGCTAAAACTTCCTCTTGGATATGTTAACATTAAAATAAGGAAGGCCTTAAGAAATTAGAAATGGATTTCTGGATATAAAGTTTAAAAATAAAATTGTTCTTAACATTGGCCTCAATGTGCACAGAGGAAAAATTAGGATTATCAAAATAATTGCTATTCCAGTTTGCTCTTATAGGTTGTTTTTTTAAGTTTCCAGCCAAGTCCAGAGCAAAGCACAGAGGATTCTTAAAAGCTTGTCAGATGTAACTTTGACTCTTAATAAGTTTTAGTTAAGAGCATGCTTAAAAGCTACTTCTATGTTGACCTCCTTGTTGCTTTTAATTGGAGTAAAATGGCCTTTTATAAGACTCATTGATCTGAAACTGGTACAAGGCCAGCCCGGGCAGAAAAAGGTTCCTGTGAGACTGTCACCTCTACTCAGCCAGCAGAGTGCTGAAAGAGCAAGCAGAGTTGCTTTGGGACTCAAAGTGGCAGAGTGCTAGCCTTGAGCTGGAGAGCTGAGGGACAGTGCTCAGACCCGAGTTCAAGTCCAGCGACCAGCTAAAGGGAAATGCAAATGAGGCATTTATCCCAATGTGGAGAAGACACTCCTGGGACAAGAGCAATGGAGGAGCATCCAGAGGCAGTAAGCCACTGCTTGGATGGCAGAAATGTCAGATCCTAGAGTCACTTGTGCGTGGCCCTTCAAAACTGGTCAGAGCCGGGAGGTCATAAAAAGAGTTTGTAAGCATGCCTAATGTCCATGACTATCTACCTTGTAACGGACAGGAACTTGCCAGTCCTCTCTGATAGTAAAAAGCTAATGTTATAAAATGTGGGCGATAGCTTAAATTTCAACCCCTTTATGTGCCAAAAGCTCTAATTGGTAGCTCTAATTGAGCTGACACTAGTTACATGAAGTTCATCTGCTCAGGAAAAAGTTTGTAAACCAGAGAGTCCATTGATATCTGTCTAAAGGCCTGCAAAGGTAACTTAGGCGTTGTTAGGGTCACTAGAGATCACGTTCCTAAGTCATCCAAAAGGATGTTTTTACAAACCAGAGTGCTAAACAAGCTACACTGCTGTAGCCGGAGAAAAGGTCTGTGCACAGTTGTCAAAATATTGTTCTTAATGACATCTAACCCTGATGGCCTCTTTGTAAAATAGGCTAAGGTTATAGGTTCCTGGCTAGGTAAGATCAACGCCCCTGAAGTCAGCTTGAAAAAGTTACAGAAGATGGACCTTCGCCCTTCTACCCCCATTTTAAAATCAAGGGTCCAGAGTCAGTTTTGGAGAAATGAGGCAAAATAGATAAAATAATTTTTTAAAAAGGCATAAAAAATAGTGTCAACTGTTGTAGGTGTGCAAGGTGTGGAGACTGCATCTGTCAGAGATGGTTACAAGACTGAGCCTTCTGTATCTATTTACAAAAATATCTGGTTAGTAAAATGTTGTGATTTTGGTAAATTGTCCTGGGCTATTGTTTGAAGATCTTAAAACCAGCAGGATCAAAACCTGCCAAGCCTATGCAATTTATCTTTAATCAGTCTGTGTAGGAATTTGCAGCCCAGCATGAGGTGTGACAGTCCCTTGGAGCCACTGAGAGACCCTGCTGCTGCTGCTGCTGCTGCTGCTGCGGTTGCTGCTGCTGCTGCATACCCTAATGGGTAAAGTTCAACGACAGCCTGACAGCCACCTGGAGGAACTCCTGCCTGATTCCATCACCTGAGTCTGCTTCCTGGTTGACTGCTGCTAAATCTAAGAACTTGTGGGACATTCTTTTAGGTGATATCCAGAAACATTCTCTTCCCACAGTGCATATTGAGGACAAGGATATCACTGGCTTGCTTGCCTTAGGCGATTCAGTGCATAGTGACTGGAAATCCACTCGATGGTCACAGCCTAGTTTGGCTCTGGTATGGTAATAACCTGAGTGTGTTATCAATGGAAGTAATAAACTGAAAAGGAGAGGGGGGTAGTAAAGAAAGCCTTGGGAAAGGAATTGGGGAAAAATTGGTATCCCTTTGGATAAGAAAGGATTTGAAAAGTAAAGATTGTCTTTAAGACAAACCTCAGAAAGTTTAAGTATGTCGCAGATGGTATGAGTATGTCTTAAAATTGGAGCTCACAAGTACAGCTGATATAAAATTAAGTTAACTGTGATACACGGAGTCAGGACTGGTGGGGAAAAAATGTAAGGGGCTCTGGTACTGTTATTTTTGTTACAATCGGACCTTGTATACTCAACAGACTTGTAAAAGAAAAGATCAGCGCAGTCCATCTATTAGTTCTGAGACCCAAATACCAAGCATTGAGAACAACTGACACCCCACAAGATAATATAGAGACACCCTAAATTTTAAGATTAAAATTAGTCCAAAGACAAGAGGAGGGAATGAAAGATTGAAATTGGTGCTATGTCCATTTTACAATATGGGCTATGTCCATTTTACAATATGCTAACTGCTAATTCTGCTTCTGTAAACCTGCTTGTGCTAACACTGACTCTTCCCCTCCCAGAAATAAGTTAAAAAGTTACAAAGTCCAGATGCAGGACCAGGGACAAGGTCTGCAAACATAGATAAAGAACAAAAGAATATGTTCTCCTGAATTCCTGTGTAAAAACTCACAGCAGGGGGCTCAAGACAAAGACCATCTGGTGAGCCCAGCAAACTAGGTCAAATGTCAACTAATCATAAGCCTATAACTATGTGGACTCCCCTCCAGAGAAGCCTCCCCCCTTAGGGAACCAACTAGTTTCCAACAAGTGTTACAAAACTTCCTGCGCAGAGCTAAGCCAATCCTGGGGAGCCTGGGGTCTTATGCTAATCCTGTGGTTTTTGTCTTTAAAAGTGCCTGTAACCGCTGCTCGGGGCTTCCAGTCTGCCTTGGACAGGGAGCCCGTTTGCGCAAACGCCTAATAAAATCCTCTTGCTTGTTGCATCTGCTGGTTTGGAGTCTTGGTTCTTGGGGTGCCCTCCCATTGAAGAAAGCATCCCAGTGGGTCTGGGGTCTTTCATAACAAACTAAGGATAATATAAATTAAAATAAACAAGATACAAAAGATAACGTGGAGAAACGGGAAAAAAGAGGAATAGAAGGGACGAATATGCTCCAAGCCTATCTATCTAAATGCACACAAAGCAACAACAGTAAACCTCTCTCAGTGTACAATTAACATGCACTAATAAAACTGTGGTGGAAAATCTGTCTCTAAATCAGGATATCCTTTATTCAAAATCCTGTGAATTCACTAGAGTGCTTGCCTTGCATGCATGAGGCCCTGGGTTTGATTCTTCAGTATCACATGAGCAGAAAAAGCCGGAAGTAGAGCTGTGGTTCAAGTGGTAGAGCGCTAGCCTTGAGATGAACAGCTGAGG